CCCTCCCCTGCTCATACACTCTCTCTCTCTCTCTCGTAGAAATAAATAAAACATTAAAAAATATATATATATAACGCTTCAAGGAGGAGCGCCTGGGTGGCTCAGTCAGTTAAGTGTCCGACTTCGGCTCAGGTCATGATCTCACAGTTCGTGGGTTTGAGCCCCACGTCAGGCCCTGGGCTGACAGCTCACAGCCTGGAGCCTGTTTCAGATTCTGTATCTCTCTCTCTCTCTCTGACCCTCCCCTACTCACGCTGTCTCTGTCTCTCTCTCTCTCTCTCTCTCTCTCAGAAATAAATTAAAAAACGCTTCAAGGAAAGGCAAAGACTGACCCAGGGACACAGTGCCCGTCCCCAAGCAGCCCAGGGACAGTCATTCCTATTCCACAGTGAAGCCCAACCCTGTGAGCACAGCAGCTTCCAGCTCACTCTGCGTGGTCTCTTCCAGCCACGGGTTCTGCTTACCCAAGCCACACTGCCCATGACCTAGACAGCAACCCAGACTTCCTGCCCTCCAGCCCCAGTAGCAGCCAGCTGGGGAGTCCGTGCACACCGCTGTGGGTGGGGTTCCATCTCCAGCCCTATACACACCGACCACCAGGCTCCTCTGAGAGCTGGAAGCCAGGACCCCAACACCTGCCAAGGGTCATTCGGGACACTGCACCCTTCTGTGCTCTTTCTTCGCTCCCATGTTGGCCCAGGCTACTCCCAGCCACATGGTCTCAAGCAGACCTCCAGCTCATCCTCACACCCAAGGCACCTCCTGGAACCTTCCCTTCCTGCCCAACCTGGAAAGAAAGCTATCCACTTCCTCCCCACCCCCCACCCACTCTGGAACCAGTGGGCTCCAATCCTACAGTCCTCCGGGGCCGCCAGGCTCACCAGCACTGGACTCTGACAACCCCACTTGCTTCTCTCTCCCCCACTCCGTTCTGTGAACAAGGGCTCCCATCTCTGCCCCCAACCTCTGGCATCTCCAGTCTCACACATCACTTCTAAACTAGAACATTCCTAAGACAGAGAGGACTACTCTCCTGACCACGCTCCCCGGATCGGTCCTCACCCACCTGCCACTTCTTCTGGCGTTCCTCCTTTTTCTCCTCCCCCCGGAGACACGTGGTTTACAGATGTGAAGTACACAACTGTGGTTGGTAAACATTTTTGTTTCTCCCTGACTTTAAAAGCCAGACTTCTGGGGGCGACTGGGTGGCTCAGTCAGTTGAGCATCTGACTTCGGCTCAGATCATGGTCTCAGTTCGTGAGTTCCAGCCCTGCGCTGGGCTCTGCGCTGACAGCTCGAGCCTGAAGCCTGCTTCAGATACTGTGTCTCCCTGTCTCTGCCCCTCCCCCATTCTCACTGTCTCTAAAAATAAACTTTAAGAAAGTAACTAATTTTATTTTTTTTTATTTTGAAACTAATTTTAAAAAGCCAGACTTTTGTACTGCCATCTCTTTAAACACACACACACACACACACACACACACACACACACACACACACCCCACCCCAAAACAATACGCTTCAACCTAGAGCCAAGGGCCAAGGTGGTTTTTGTTCTACGTGGCAACGAAACTCCAAGTTTCTCTGAGTCGATGGCTCTCTGCAGGGAAAACCCTTACTACACCTTATTTTAAAGCGAACTTATAACACTATGATACCAACCCATAGGTGAATGCCCGGAACAAAATGGGGTCCAGAGGCACAGCATGCCCCATATTTAGCCAACATTAATCAAAAAACACGTGCTTTCGGGGCGCCTGGGTGGCTTAGTTGGTTAAGTGTCCGACTTTCGCTTAGGTCATGATCTCGCAGTTCGTGGGTTCGAGCCCCGCATCGGGCTCTGTGCTGACTGCCAGCTCAGAGCCTGGAGCCTGTTCCAGTCTGTGACTCCCTCTCTCTCTGACCCTCCCCTGCTCACGCTGTCTCTCTCTCTCTCTCTCACTCTCCTAGAAATAAATAAAAAATATTAAAAAAAAAAAATTAAAAAAAACACGTGCTTTATGTCGACAGGAACAAGTGACCCTTGTCACACACTTCTCCTAAGAGCAGCAGAGACAAGACTCACTCTGGATGCTTGTCAGTGACCAGTTCTTCATACTTCACAGGCTACCAGGGAGGAGCAAATGTAGCCACAAACACAAAGACGTTCTAGAAACTTCCAGAAATTACAACACACGGTTAGGAGGCACACAACCACTTTACCTTTGTTAGGAGGGTATTTTGGCTTTTTCCCGCCACCGACTAACGCTAAATAGTTGCAGCGAAACAACATTTCAACATGGCCAACTCCTCCTTCTAGAAATTCTGAAACGATAGTAAAAACAAGTTACTATGTGGATCTTACAATTTTAAAAAAGACAAGAAAACAGTGAAAATGTAACACTCGGCATTTATGTATCTGACTGTACGAGTCTGTATAGAGCTCTCTGCCGTCAGAGACAAGACGGGTTGCTGGCAGGAACAGAGTGAGCCGGGGACTTCGGACTCCTCTCTGTAGCCCATCCTCATCAACCATGCTTCCAGTCTAAGTGCTGAGCACACAGAACCCTTAGAAGCCAACGCTCCAAAATGTATTTAATATACCAACTCGTATTTTAAGGGGTAGTAAAATGTCTAAGCTCTAAGAAAACATGCTAAATGCTTTCATACAAAAGCAGTTTACCGCTTTAAACACCTCTTCCATTGAAGTTTGAAATGCTCAAAAATTTTTGTGAATTACATTAAGAGGAAAATGTCAGCAGATTTTCAGAACGCCTCCATGACACAAGAAGACCAATAGCACTTGCTCAGGGAAGGTGATGGGGACCTGATGAGAAGTCGGGGGCTCCCAGAAGCAAACCCTACTCTGGACTGTTTCCATTACAGAACAGAACAGCCCGTCCAGCTCTCTCCGGCTCTCCACTCTGGTCAGCAAGGACTGGGGCTCCTGGCACCATGAGGGCACAGTAAAGGGCAGGTGAGGAATCAGAGCCTCTTAAAGTTAGAAGTTCACAGAAGACCAACTTCTACCTCCTGTCATGGCTACTCAAGATGATCCCAAAGTTCATCAGCTACAGTCCAAGGCCATGTAGAAACCCTAGAAAGGAGGGACTATCTACTTGATGCTTGAGCAACATGGGACTGAATGGCATGGGTCCACTTATATGCAGATTTTTTTTGATAAATATGATCTGATACTATAAATGTATTTTCTTACTTTGTCTTTAAGTTTTATTTATTTAAGTGATCTCTACACCCAATGTGGGACTCAAACCCATGATCATGAGATCAAGAGTTGGATGCTCTACCAACTGAGCCAGCCAGACACCCTTCTTACGATTTTCTTAATAACATTTTCTTTTCTTTAGCTTTATTGTATGAATACAGTATAGGATAATTGGTGTGTCACACCAAGGACCCTGCCCCTCTTATGCACGACTGTACCCCCAGCGCCAGTGGGGCACTAGACACTGGAAGACACGCTGACCACCACCCAGCTGGCTCAAACAAAAGCAGCCCTCACCTGCACTCCACCTCAGTCACATGGTGCTCTTTCTAGGTCTCTGTCTCCTCCCTCGTTCCCCACAGATGGCTGCCAACATGACGTGTGTGAGCAGGGTCACAAGGAGGGCACAGCGGGGAGCACTGCAGACAGGAAACCTCTGAACCCCCGCCCCCCTCCCAGGTGGTGCAAGCTCCATGAGCATGAGCTGTACAAGCTCCAATCACCTCTGCACTGCGGGAGGGTTGTGTTTCCAAATGAACAGTGCAGGTGTAACTTTTTACTAGTACTTTCTATGTCTCTATAATCACCGGGTATCATATTTTATCCAAATTCATCATTCTTGAACCTTGTAGCATATGCTCAGATGTGAATCCGAGTCCTACACTTGGACCACACCAGGCAACCCTCCCAGGGGCTCCGGGCCAATCTCACCTACTCGGTGCCACAGGCAGACTGGAGACGACAAGGCTGACAGCCCCAGTCTGGGGTGACGGCTAAAACGCAGGCACGCTTCCTTCCTCCTCACTGAGGAAAGGAAACCGCCAAGATAAAACAGGAACGAGGTCCAGCCTGTTTTTGTGGAGTTGTAAGATGCCAGAACTGTAACAGCAGACCAACCTGCAAGTTACAGAGGTGGCTTTATTAAAACACACCCTCAAGGGGCACCTAGTGGCTTAGTCGGTGAAGCATCAGACTCTTGATTTCGGCTCAGGTCGTGGTCTCACAGTTCATGAGTTCGAGGCCGGCGCCAGGCTGTGTGGAGCCTGCTTGGGCTTCTCTCTCTTCCTCTCTCTCTGCCCCTCCCTCATGCCTGCACTCTCTCTCAAAATAAACGAACGTAAAAAATAAATAAGATGCACCATCAAAAAGCACAGCACAGCACTGTCCCAGACAGCTCAGCAGAGCAGGAAGACACTGCCCTCGGCATGGCAACAGCAAGCCTTCTGGAACTCAGACTTTTAGGTGCTTCTTGTCTACCTTTTGTAAGAAATCCTGAATTTGGTATAAACATTTCACCAATTACAACAGTTGTGAATATACTACTAATGATTCAACTTTGAAACTAAGTCTGGAACTCTGCCTTTCTGGGTCACTTTAAGTAAAAAGTATCCTGAAATCTGCAAATGAAACTGTTTCAAAGTACTTTGTAACAAATATCCATATAAAGGAGAGTTGTCTTAATTCACTAAGCAACTAAAAGTAAAAGTCAGAGACTTAGAAGACTGACAGGAGACTCCCACCACGGCCAGCACCGCTCGCAGACTCATTCTCTAAGAGCACACTACTGCTAGACTGAGAAATTATGAGCACAAGCTTGTGTAGCACTACATATGTGTGCGAGGCACTAATCTAAGTGTCTTAAATATTCTAAATCAGTGATCTCCACAATAACCTTAGAAAGTAGACCGTTACCACCTTCATTTCATACAAAGAAAGTGAAGCCAGGAGAAGGTGAGGCACTTGCCCAAGGTCACACAGCCACCTAGTAAGGGGCAGAGCCAGATCCCACCTAAACAGTGAGGACCCAGCATCTAAGTCCTTACCTACCAGGGGCGCCTGGGTGGCTTAGTCGGTTAAGCATCTGACTTTCGCTCAGGTCATGATCTCACGGTTCGTGGGTTCAAGCCCTGCGTCGGGCTCTGTGCTGACAGCCAGCTCAGAGCCTGGAGCCTGTTTCAAAAAAAATTCTGTGTCTCCCTCTCTCTCTGACCCTCCCCTGCTCACACTGTCTCTCTCTCTCTCCTAGAAATAAATAAAACATTAAAAATTTTAAAAAAAAGAATAGATACAAATGAAACAATTACAATACCTGACATATGGTAGATACTATGTAAATGATGACTGCTGTTCCTTCTATTATCGGCCTGAAGTAATCTCTGGGTCTTCCTGGGGAAGTGAGTACAGAGGCAGATGGCATCTGGCACAGAGTCCTATATTAAGTCTCAATTTATGAAATGCCAGAAACCTAATTCAATCTGATAGGGGGGAGGAGGGCAACATGCTGGCCAGAGGTGGTTCTTCCCTGGGCTCCAGCAAGAAGCCACCCTTCGCTGCTAGGGAACCTCAGCTTATCCCACGAACCTCAGGGGCACCTCAGGTTCTGCAGCCAGTGACACCTGAGGAGAAGACCATGGAATTAAGCATGCAATGCTCTTAGCCCCGAGCTGAATGAAAAGCAGGCGTTGGGATGTAATAATCCTAAGTGCAGACACAGAGCTGTGTATGTAGCCATATAGAGGGACACTACTCTGGGATTCAGGGTCCTTGGGTGTTGGTCTGAGCCCTGCCACCAGCTTCATGTGACCTGAAGCCTTCTGTTTTCTGTCTGGTAGAAGTTGTAAGAAATCACAGTTTGAGCCCAAGTTCCAGAGGCAGTGATGGGCAGTTAGGGGTTCTTCCCAAAGCAGGTAGCAGAGAAAGCCCTTCCCTCACAGAAGCCTCTGCCAGAAATGCTATTCCCATCCCTATCCAGACCTGATCAGCCGTCGTTAGTGTCAAATAGAATAGGAAAAAACAGTTTCCCCTTCTGACCATCTGTCCACCTAACAATCTCACCCACTCTGCCCCATACAAGTCCACATTACAGAGAGGGCAGGCACATCTCTGTTCTGGCACTCCCAGGCTCACTGTCCTCCACAAACGCTGCTTCCTCTGTCCAGGGGCTCCAAAGGAAATCTCAAGAGGGTTCTGTAAATAAGTCAGTGCTACAGCGCAGTGACCCTGATGGCCACTAGGTGGAGAACGCTCCTTTTTGTGCTGGGCAAAGTAGACCAGCGCCAGGACCTTACTGTTTGGTTGGATACTGAAGAGAATAAGATGACTTTTCCTGAGCTCCTGTATTCGATATTTCATTTAGCCCTCAAGACAACTTGAGTAAGGCTCAATTTCACAGCAGAAACTCCTAGGTAAAACCTTGCAGAGCTTACACAACCAAGAAATAACCATGGAGGGATTTGACCCTCATGTTCCCAAGTCTTTGTTAGTGCACCTCTACTTCCAAAGGCCATCTTGCCCTTCCCTCAGAACATTTCCTTCCAGAGGACACTGTTTGAAGACTGTAGTTTAGTCACCTGCCTGGAAGGACACCTGATGTCGGCCCTACTCATTGGGCTTTCTTTCACTCTTTTCCCTGGGGTAACATCTCTCTTACACTCTTATAGCCTATGGTTCTGGGAGACTAACCCCAGTCCCTGGTTCCAGGGGTGACCTTGTGAGCCAAGCCTGGGCAATCAGAATAAGTCTGGAGCTGTTAGTAGCCATCTTTGCTACTACATAAAGACAATCTGTGTGAAAATTAAATCATCACAGAGGAAAACAGCTGAGAGTTGGGAAGAGCCTGGTTTCTGATGAACACCGGGATCTAAACAGGCCTGAAGGTAATGCTCTCAGGACTTTTTAGTTATCAGTCAATACTCTTTTTCTTTAAGTCAATTTAAGTTGGGTTTCTATCACAAACAGGAGTACTGTCTTTTGTCTTTTTTCTCAGGAGTACTAATATATGTTTTAGCTTCTCCATCAACCTAGTGACTTCCACTTACCTAAGAAGATCATTAACTTCCGGGGCGCCTGGGTGGCTTAGTCGGTTAAGCGTCCGACTTTCGCTTAGGTCATGATCTCGCGGTTCATGGATTCGAGCCCCGCGTCGGGCTCTGTGCTGACTGCCGGCTCAGAGCCTGGAGCCTGTTTCAGAGTCTGTGACTCCCTCTCCTTCTGACCCTCCCCTGCTCACGCAGTCTCTCTCTCTCTCATAAATAAATAAAACATTTTAAAAAAAAAAGAAGATCATTAACTTCCAAGGCTAAATTGGCTGCTCTTCTGTGCCCTGTGCCTCCTCTAACATTGCCCTTAATATCCTATGTTATGATCTGTTCAATTCTTTCTCTTTTAGACTAGAAACTCTTTGAGGGCAGTCACCGTGTCTCATCATAGCAGAGCACTGTGATTCTTTTAATAACTGCTTAGTGGTGGAGTCAATTAATGGAAAGTTAAGAGTGGATATGGGCTAGTAGGGACCATTGCTATCATTTCACAGACATTTTGAAGGAGCTGAGCCTCCAATGCTTATCAAGGTCAGAGGACTGAGGTTGGGAGGAGAGTAAGTGAAAGGACCTAGGAGAGAGGGAGCACAGTAAATCGTTTCAGTAATGACCTCTCATGAATCTCATGAATCTTTGCCTTCCTGCATCTGTGCCCTTTGTCAATGTGAATGTCTCACTTTAGCCATCGAGATGTAGAGCCTGAGCCAGCCTTGGGACTTGCTCTGATC